ATAAATAAAGAACAATCAATCATTTATTAAAGATATGACTTTTTTACAAACAAATTAAAGAGATACACAATTTTTACATAAGAAATATTAAAAATTGTAATGATTTATTTTTGTAAATAAGAGATATAATCTATATATTTATTTTGCTTCTCTTTACTTAAAGTTGCTTTTTCAATCATAGCTGTTGAGATAATTTAATTATTAAAAATAAAAACAAATAATTTAAGGGTTTACCTAATAGAATGTTATTAACAACACATACAAAAAATGTTTTGAGACTTTAATTTTCTAATTAGAATTGACCTTTGAAGCTGAATTTTGTATAATAGATACATTTGCAGTTTGTTACAAAAGCAATTATGCGACGATTAATTTTCTATTTACCTAAGCTTATGGTTTATTTCAAAACGTTGGGGTTATCGAACTATAGAAGCTGAATGTAATGATCTGGTTTCTGAAGAAGAAGTAGTCTTTGAATGCGACCATATTATTCAACCAGAAATTGAATCAGTTCATAACGTTTCTCAAGAAAAAACATTTAAATTGGAAAGACTGCGAATTATTGACATTGCGTTTTTTTGGCAGCAAATCAAGAATTTCGAGCATATGCCTTATTTCAATTGCTCGTTAGAAAGCTGTGACATTACCAATGAAATAAGGAGATGTCTATGCTCCACATTTACAGTAGTTTGTAATATGTGTGGTGTTAAAAATTTTTTAAAAACAGAAAATGTAGATACCATGAACACTAATATGGCTGCAGTATTGGGTAAGTATCTTTTTGACATAATGTAAAACTTTAAAAATAGTGTAGAGTTTGGGTCACTTAAAGATTCCACTCTCCTTCCCACAATCTTCGTTACTGAGATATAATTATTTTTGTTTTACTTGACAAGTCAAAAAGTACTTTATTATCGGTGCATTCAAGCTCCCGTCCATCCTTACCTGTAAAATAATCGTCGACACGATTTTAGGTCATAGGCACGTGCTATTTACTCGAGATGCCGTAAACCTGATAAAAGAACAATTTGAAAATTTTCAATATTGTAATAATTATATAGGGCATTTTATAAGAAATATACAATATTTTATTTTTCGTTTGTTCATTGATTTGAAATTTGGTAGGGTTGTGTTTTTGAGGTGACAAATATAAAACGTTCTTATTAATTTTAAGATTAGATAAAGAGGGCGCTGAATCCGCTCTAATGAATGAAGAACATTATTGGAATATTTTAAAGTTTTTTAAGCTATAATGATAACCGTTTAAAAATACCAAAGTCAATTTCAGAGAAATAGTAGGTACTTTCCACACAGAAATTCATCTAGAGCGGAAAATATAAAAACAATCTTTATTATTACAATACGAAAACTTTTCAAACCATCAAAATACGGATATTCAACAGCAGTATCATTTATTTACCTAAAATTTCAGGTAAAATATTCTACGGCCTTTATGGGATGGGATTTTGCATTCGTTCAATTCTTATAATTGATTTAATTATTCTGTGACGTCATTGCTTAATTTTTGTTTTTCCCAGTACCTGTGTCTTAACTTAAAAGCTTTCAAAATAAAATTAAGCGACTTGTATTCTTACAAAAAAATAGAAAAATTAATGTTTTTATTGATTTTATTAATTATTCATTGTTGGAAAAAGGCATGTTGATATTTCAATAATAAGCTAGGGGGAGGTGGAGTTTTTAAGTGCCCCACGCTGTATACAAACTTATAAAAAAGTAAAAACTTAATTTAGATAGGGGTAAACCACTGCTGTCAAATGGTGTGCAAGTAATCTGTACTATTCGTGTTATTTTTATATTTTGTGTACTATTTGTCTATTTTGCTTACTATTTCTGTACTTCGTGTACTATTTCTGTACTACGTTTTACTATTTGCATGCTATATGTACTATATTTAATATTTGTGTGCTATATGTATACAGCAAATACCTTTTTTCTACACCCACATGGATATTAATTAGCTTATCTACGCACAGATTACAAAACGAAAAAGTATGCTATTAATTGAACGAATATATTTCATATCCGTTTTAGGTATGAGAACACTGCAAAAAAATGAAATCCAACACCGTTCATATTTTGATCAACCGACGCTATTATTTTTAAAATTTTAAATAAGTGACAATTCTGAACTAATTGTCAGTATATTTTTTACTTATTGAGATTGTATACCTATACACTAAAATGTTCAATTTTTGTGTAAAATCAATAAATAATAGCATTTCTATTTTTATTTCATCTAGAATTATAAATAATTTATTATTTAAATAGAACTATATGAAGTCAATTTAATTACGAGTATTAAAGCAACAAAATTAAGACTAGGTGGTCGTGTGGTGAGCGTTCTTATCTTCCACACTAAAGACTGGAGTTCGATTCTTGGATGGGGAAAAACTTTTTTCTTTTTTTTTTCGTTTATTTTATTTAAAAAATTATTAAACGTCATAAATTATTCTAAAATTAGTTATTTTGTCATAATAACCTAGAATATTTTTTTAATTTGTAAATTTTCATTAGTGGGTCGTAGAAAAAATATACTGTACAACTCGAGTGGATTGTTCATATGGCCATCATATCCACTCTTGTTGCACAAACTACTATTTTTTGAGTTATCTACTACATTTAATTAGCTGCGAGTTTTTTAGATCATTGTCCCAATTTTTAGTAATTTCTGTACTATTTATGTATATTCTTAGTACAATTTTGTATAATATTTGCGTACTATTTGAGGCACAATGGGTACCAGTGCACACAATTTTTTTCCTACGGTTTACCCCTTATATTTTTTTATATTTTATATGTGCCAACATTGCTACTCTAAACTTTAACAGTTACAAAGAAAACTAAATGTGCAACATTACAGTGGTTGGAAAGAAACTAAGGGGTCTATTTCCAAACATGCAATATTCTTGAAAAGATTTGTTGATAAAATTAACAAAAAATGGAGAAGTAAAAGTTTATTTTTTGGCACGAAATTTGCTGCAAGTACTATTAAATCATCAATATGGTGTTTCGTTTCGATGTTAGGGTTTAGAAAAATAGTGATCATAATATAATAAAATAAACGGTCTGTATAATAAAAGAGGAAGAAGCAATATTGGAAAATAAATGTCCAAAAAAATTGGAATATACTTCAGTAGAAAATGGCATAAAAGAAAAAAAAATAACTTTTTTAAAAGAAGATGAAAATGGAAAATATGCGTTAAAAACAAACCACAACTATTACTATCAGATTCAGGGACAGATGCATTTATCTAAAAAATATTGGTAATATTTTGTAGTGTGGTCTCCTATAGGACCGCTACACATCGAACAAATTTCTAAAGATGAGAACTTCTGGGATGAGTGCATAAAGGATAAAATATCGTCTTTTTACTTTAATGCATTTGTTCCAGAAATTATAAAAATCCCGTGTAATAAACATATGTTTCAATAAATTTATTAAAAAAACATCTTGTTTTTTATTTTTCTGGTTTCAAGACGAAATCGTAACGTAAAATGATAAAAAGAACACAGCTACATTTAAAATAAAGGAGTCATGAAAATATCTTGAGTTACTCGTAATCGTTTTCAATTGTTTATTAAGGAAATAAATCTAATTTAATTTCTGAGGAAATGTTTGACTGTTCATTTCCGTCAAATTAATACATTCAAAATACTATTAGCCCACTTATTGGATTTATATAAGGGCGTTATTCTAGGAATATACAATTTCAGGTAGACACCATTAAATATTAGAGGTAAGTACACTTTTATATTACGATGATTAATCATCAATAGATTAAGAATGTAATTATAAACCTTAAATGTTTCTTTTTCAAATTTTTGGCATTAAAAAGTAATTAACCGCTTAAATACTACTCTTCTTATTAGGTACATATAAATCATTTTTAATATAGAACAATAAAGTTTAATTTTACATAAAATTAACTGACATGGAACAATTATGATATATTCTTTTTTGAATTTACAATCTCTTTCTAACCTATACCATTAAAATATTATATATAGGTGTACGTGCAGTATCTTAATATCTACTTAGTTAAATTAAATAATATAGCAAATTTCACAGTGAATATAGGTAGGTACCTATCTGCCTGAAAAGGTAAATAGAAATTTACAAAATTACGTTTCAATAAAACTAGCATGATGCTCTGAGAACAGATTGTTATTTTAATTAGAAACATAAAATAAAAACTGTTCGTAAAAGTTCCAATTATTAGTTATGTTATGAATAGCTATAACCGCAACTCTATTAGATTATCGTCTCGGACGTCCGATAGGATTTTTGTTTGCGAATGTACCAACCACTTTTGGCGACCCCTTCCCATTGAATTTTACCCAGTCTATCTCTCTTCGAACTATGCGGTTCTTTCCAATACTTGAGTTTGAATTGGGTGCTGTAATCACCTTAAGTACAATTTACATCTTAGAAATCTAAAAGGAACGTAACATGCATAACAAAAAATAACAAACTCGATCTTGGTCTCTACAATAAGCTGCTACTTTTTCATAAAAATAGAAATATAAACCTTATGTCATCCTATCAGTTTAAAAAATTTGTAGAGGACTTTCTTCTTTCTGAAGAATTTTATAGTGTAAGTGAATATGTCTGTCATTGTAAATAATTTATTTTAATTGAAATTTTTATGTTTTTAATCTTCACCAGTTTTCTCATTTTAATGTTTTTGACTGCATATCTGACTAATATGTATTTTGTTTTAGGTTTAAATACTTTTTATCATTTATTAACAATTTGTATAACTGACTAAATGTACAATTAATGTATAAAAAGGTTAATAAACTACTATCTATCTATTATTATTATTATTAATATTTTTATTAATATTATTGATTATTTGCTTACCTAGACCTACGAAGTACAGATGTTTGGTGGTAATAATTAAATATTTTGTTAAAATAAAAAGTCAGCGGACTTATCTCCGATTAATAATTTAATTTTAAAATATTAATTTTTCACAAGTTAGGGAAAGTATGAAAATAATATATAAAATAAAGACAACAGCTTTAATTTCCTAAAAATACATCTATATATTTAAGATTTAAGGTGATTTTAACGAAGCAAAAATACAATCGTTAACTTTCTTGACATCTCCACATTCCATTATTTTAGTACCGTCAGTACATTTCTTTACAGTATCCAAAAATTTTTCAGACATGTCGGTTCCAAATTGACTTTTAAAGTATTTTCCTACTTCTTCCATTTTTACAGAACCATCGCTGTTTAACAATCCGGATTTGTCCATTATACATTTAAAGAAGCACAAAACTTCATTGGTGTCTTTTGGTGGAAAAACTAAAACGTCTTCCTTTTTTACGCCGCTAGATTTTACACATTCGTCGAATCCATCCATTTTTTCAAATTTTGCCAAAGCTTCTGCAAGACCCGCATGATCTTCTGCTGCTATCAAACAAATCTGAAATAAATCACACTAGATATTAATAACACAACATAACGTTTTGATGTGTAAAAAATATTTCTTTACTAGCGACAATTATAAATGGAATAGTATAGAATAATAATTTATTTAACTATTTTATTTATAACTCTACATATAAATTAATAGCAATTTGAAAAATAAATAAATTAAAAACTCATAAAAATCATAATATGAAAGTTACAATCAAACATAGTTAACCTATACTACAATGAAATATTCTAAAATGAGTCACAGATAGTTGTATTAAACAAGAAGTCAACTATATACAGACACCGCAAATAGAAGATTACGATCGTCTTCCATTTAAATACAATTCAAAACAGGAGTTACTACCGGACATATATTATTAAAATTCTTTTTAACAATATTATAACATGAACATAGTATCAAAAATATTATGACATACATATGTATCAGAATATATTCATTATCTTTTGCTACATCACTGAGATGTATCGGTATAGACGAGCTGGACTACATTGGCAACAAATGAATTCAGCTCGGATGTAACCAACGACAAACAACTGATAGACTAATTTTGTTTACAACACATGACTGCTGTCTAATTATTACAGGCTTTTTCCGGTTATTTTGCACGACCTACATACATACATTTTCCACATCTCACTCGAAACATCTTATTAAATATACAGGGTGTTTTAGAATATAATGTACATACGTGAAATGTAGGTATGGGGCACACGGACCTTAGAATCCAGGTCCAGCTTAACAAAATTTTACCATTCCTTTCCGCTTCTAAAACAACCCTGTATAACCAAATTTAGCATATCTGATTAAATATCTCAAAAGAGCTGAAAAAATTAATTAAGGTAAGTGTCTTTTAAAATTTGCGCATGTGGTTTTAGAGGCACTATTACCTTCAGAATTTAAAAATGATTTTTTGATGATAAAACACGAAAAATATTACTTTTTCAAGTAGGTGCTTTTCAAATATTTAAATTTTACACTATTTTAGTCTTCGATTTAATGTTAGAAATAAATTACAGGACCATAGTTAGCTAAATAATAATTTTTTTTAAGTTTATTTTTAAATACCTTCTATAATGAAAAATACGAAAATGAAGGATTAAAAATATTATTTCTACTTAAGGAGGTCCTTTCTCCACCAATGTTAAATAAAAAATATTAGATTATGACTAAAATTATTTTTTTTCTAATAGTTCCTTATTTATCTAAGTGAATTTTTAACTATACCTTACCGTGCAAATTTTTAAGATTTTTTTTTTAAATGTATTAATTAATTAATTAATTAATTAAGTATACTATTATTTATTGACTAGATGGAGTAGAAAAAAACTAAAAATAAGGTTTTTAAAATATTTAGGTTTTGTTTTTTACAATAAAATATATAGGTTACCGTGGAATTTATTGAGAAATTATTATTAAAAAATCACAAAAAATGTTCAACTAGGTTACTTAAAAATTTTTTGTGATTTTTTAATATTTATTTCTCAATAAGTTCCACGGTTTACTATATATATTTTATTGTATAAAACAAAATCTAAATATTTCAAATACCTTATTTTTAGTTTTTTTTCTACTCCATCTAATCAATAAATAATAGTATATTTCAAAAATTGTTGTTGAGGACTTACTTTCTCGTGAGGCACTGTACAAATACTCACATTTTTAAAAAAAAAATTCTCAAAAATTTGCAAGGTAAGGTATAGTTAAAAGTTCAGTATTAGATAAATAAGGACTTCCACTATTAGAAAAATATTAATTTTAGTCATAATCTAATTTTTTTTTTTTTAACATTGGAGGCGAGAGGTGTGGCGAAAGGACCTCCTTAACAAAAATGAGATTTAATTTTAAACATAACTTAGTAATTATTACTCCCACGGTCATCTTTTTATATTTAAATTACACTTGGTCACTAGATTTAGAATAAGTTAATTTTTATTAATTATTATAATTTGTTAAATCAGTCTAACTTTTGGTATTTAGATATTTAAAATTGATGTGTACAGATCACGTTATTGCGCATGCTCATTACAAGCACGCTATTTTGAACTTTAATCACATTGTACGTTGCCCAGTTTTCCTGAATTCACTTCTTAACGCCACAGTTTTTGTATGGGTCCTTTTATACTTTCAAAAAAGTTTATAAATAGGTTATTGTTTTTCGATCGTTCACTGCCCAGACAGCACACATAGTCCAATGGACGTCCATTTTAGATCCATTTGAGGGCCAGAACGTCCATATCCGTATTCGGACATCCAGTGTACGTCCGTTTATGAATATTAATTTGACAGCTGCTTTTCGATGTTCAGAGGACGTCTGTTTTTGGACATAATTTTAAGTTTAGTATTATTTTGACGTCCAGTGGACGTCCATCTTAGGTCATTATTTATTTAACCTACCAGATAATACCCATTTATATACACTTCCTTTTTTTATAGAATTGGTCATTAAAAATTGACAAATTGAATCTATTACATTTCATTATATCAGCGGAAGTTTAAAATCTTATTCTATAATTACCGTATCTATACTCGGACAAAATATTGGAGAAGGTGAGTCATATGCATCATCAACAATGTTGTCTCTGAATGAAAATTCCGTCAGAGTTAGCATAGGCGGCGTATCAAATACCAAATAATTATTTATTATTTATTACGCATTTATTAGTAAACTTTATTAAAATTGTTTGTCAACATCTTTATTTAAACAAAGAAGATGCGTTAAATATACGTTTTAGATAGTTTTCAAGAAATGAATTATATTTATTCCCTAATGACTTCGTTATCTGTGTTTAATGGTTTTTAAAATGTGTTTCAAGTAAATAAACGACAGACGGGTTACAGATTGAATATTGTCAGCACAGGCACAAAGACAGTTGAAAACTAACTTTCGACGAAGTTAGATTTGTATTGCTTTAACTATTTACGATAATTATTTTATATTTTATTAACACTTTTTTGTATAGGTGCTCTTTTCTGATATACGAGTAGGTGTTCATGTTTGTGCCTTACAATTTGGTAGTGGTAGTGCATATTCGAGGAGTTATATTTATTGTGTAGTACTTTAAAAGTTTATTAAATAGTAAAATATTGGTGTCTTTATAAATTTAATAAAATAAAAATTTAATAGTACAATTATATTGTTAGAATAGTAATGGATTCAGAGGCTAGTCCAAGTGAAACCCAATTACGTCGGCGAAAACCCTTATCAAAGGATGAAAAGAACATTAAATAGAAAGTGTATGATGGGCTGAAACAGACACTTCCTACAAATGAAGCTGTAAACCGCAGTTCTTTTTTAACTTTAGTATCTGTTTCAACAATTTAACGTATTGTACGCGAAAAGACAAAAAAGGCTCCTTATAAGCCCCTAAAACGCATACCCGTGGTCGAAAATTGTTGAAATTGGACGATAACCAAAAACAAATTATTCGAAGAACTGTACATTCTTTTTTTTTTTTTTTTTCGAAAACAAAGCCCCAACACTTAAAGTTGTTTTTACGAAATTAAGAGAAAACGAAGAAATTCCATTAATGAGCCGTGAAACTTTACGAAACATTTTATGGGGCCTAAAATTTTGTTTTGTCAAACGGTGTAGAAAATCAATTTTAATTGAGAGGTCAGATATAGTATCCTGGCGACGGCGTTATTTACGAAATATTAAAGAGAAAATATAATCCAGAATTGGACATCCTATGAACGGTAAAAAGTGTACCATTTGTATACTTCACTAGACGTCCATTGGACGTCAGAAGTCCAGAAAAAACTCGTCTTTGGACGTCCAGACATCAAAATTGTATATCAGATGGACGTCCAATGGACCTATTTGTGCTGTCTGGGTGGTTCCGGATAGAGAGAAAGCGGATAACCCCGTCAACCAAGTTAAAGGTTGCTTTAAGTTCATTGGACATTATAGCCTCTTTTTTATCTACTTTCTACCATCTTATTTTGTGGAGTGAAACTCACAAAATTCCTATTGGCCTACACGATGCCAATCCTTTTAGTGATTTATTGAACAGAACCACTAGGGTTACGGATCCCAGAAGGATTGTTGATTTAAACTATTTTAATCAAGTAGATACATTCTCCAGATACCCTGGGGATACTCAGATCTGTCCCGTATAGTCTTGGGTACTTTTAGTTTCTCATGTATATTTATTTCTTCTTGAGCTTCGTCCATTCGATTTCCTATATTTAGGAACCTCATTAATTTCACCTTTTCATTTATTATAACCAATTTACCCAATTGTTTTCTACACCACCACTATTTTAGTCTTAACCGGCGTTCACTAGTGCTGTTTATTCTAACATTTCAAAATTTTCCTTAGTTATAAGATTACTAATTACAATGCCGCAGCGCCGGTCCATGAATTCCTAGTTTAGTTTATTTATTGCCCTCTCCTCCTTCATATTAAGTTTTGCCAGCTGCTGTCCTCAAGTTATCTTGTAGTTGCCGTTAGGTAAGCGTTATGCATTTGTTAGACCGGATCTAACGCGCGAGTAATTACGTTCGTGTTGCTCTGTGAAGTTGTTAGAAAATTAACTACGCGAGTGATCCTGTTGATAGTATTTGCAGTTGTATTCTCAAAAAGTGTGGCATAAAAAGGAACAGCAAGCATTATTAGCACTTCGGAAAGAGAAGGTTTTATGCCTGTAGTAGAGTGTGATGTCTTAGATGAAGATGCACCGTCTGAACGCAGCGACCATGACACAGACACCCAAAAATTCCGCAGCTGTAACCTACAATAAACTATGTTGCATTGAAAAAGATGGCGTGAACCAGTGGTCATATTATAAACACATTTGTCGCAGTAAAACGTGCTCGAAAAACATTGTAACAATATTACCAGCTGTAACAAGTACTGGAAAAAATACTAAAATGTATAAGGATCGCTGGAAATGATTTTTTCCTAATGAAATTATTGGCCATATAGTGGAATATACGAATCTTCAGCTTGACGTCATAGACCTAAATATCAACGTTAGAGAGA